GTCTTAGCAGCCTGGGCGAAGCATACTGACTGTCCCGCAGCACGGGAGGGGGAGGGACAGAGGGCGGCCGCGGAGGGCGGGCGAGAGGGGAGGGCACTCACCGCACGAAGGTTTTCGGCAGGAGTGGGCGGCTGGCCGTGGCGAAAGCGTCCCAGCAGCGGACGTGGAGCGGCATCGCGCCGCCCACACCCAGGAGCTGAGGCAAAGGCTGCAGGCGCTGAGAGCGTAGAACAGGTCGGACCAGTACAGGGGCGGAGCGGCGGGCGAGTCTACTGAAGCGGGTGGCATCTAAAATGTTCGTCGAAAGACCGTTCGTCCCAAACATTCCTGCAGTACGGCGGCAGCTGGACGCGAGGAGGTCAGAACCATGGCGGCTGGCCAGCGAGTCGCTCGCGGCAGCAAAAGGCTGCAAAGCTTCCGAACTGAGCTGCTGATGGCAGGGTTGCAAGACAGCTGCAAGTCGCTGGCTGCAACGCCACTGCGGGCAGCAGCCGCGAGCTGCTGAGCAGGCCAACTGCTGAGGTGGCGTGAGCGGCGAGGAGCCGCCGTCCGCCGCCAGAAATGCCCAGGCGGCGGCAGCCATGACGGGAGGCGGGAGAATGAGGGCTGACCCGGCCAGCACACGCATGCCAGCCGGGCGTGGCGGGAATGCCCAGCCACAGGTCTGGCAGGGCGGGGGCGCCCAGCTGCGGGCGCAGCGGGGCAAGGGCGGACAACGGCGGCCAGCCTGGCCGGTGCAAGCAGCACAGCGGGCAGGCCACCAGGGCGCCTGGCCGCAGACTGGCCAGGCGCGGGCACCCAGCAGCCAAGCCCGCAGGGCAGGTGACCCCGCGGAGCCGAGCAAGCGCCTCCAAGCGCGCGTCGCCAGGTGCCGCCTGGGGCGGCACTGGCAGGACGCGCAGCTGAAGGGAGGCGGCGGCAAGAGGCGCCACCGGAGGCGGCACGAGGCTTCACCCAGGACCTCCAGGCCGGCTGAGAGGGTTGCACCAGCGATGAGCACAGCGACCTCGCCACTTGAAACCAGCTCGTCACTCGAAACCAGCTCGTTCAAACCCGCACCTGACCGGCGCACATACTTTTGCGGAAGCGCCCACCTGAGGGGGTGGCGCTTCAGTCGCGACGCGCAGGCGCCCGTTGGAGTGCCCACCAGGGATCCAAGCCCTCCAGCCAGGAACAAGGGGGAGAATCCACCCGGGGGAGTTGGACGCACCCAAAGGGAGAGGAGAGAGAGGGCGCGCCACCGAGAGGGGGGGGGGGGCGCGCGGCAGGAGGCACCTTATCGGTGCAAGCACGAGTGAAGAGCCAGGGGGCCCACCTAGGGTGGCGGGCCCTCTGCAAATCGTCGCGGGCGCCCTGGGTCGCTGTCAGGCAAGGCCCGCAGGCCACGCGGGTGCAGCCTTGGGGGCCAGGTGCCTGCGGAAGCCTGGGCCAGGTGCGCGGTGCGCGGCGTCCTGGCCTGGGCATTCAACCTGTCGCACGCGGGCGGGGACGTCCGTGTCCACGAGACACTTCTGCGCAATCTGGGCGCTGTGCAACCAGGCTGCTAGGTGGGCCCGTGGGTTAGAATTCCCGCATGCGGGGCTGGCCCCCAGCTAAGCAGGAGTCGCCATTGGCACGATTGCCTCCTTGGCCTTTCCCTCAACCTGCCTGCGCCTGCCGCTCTTGCTGCTGCCGCTCAGTCGACGGCGATGTGCCAGTGCTGGCAGTACCTACGCGTGTCGGAGTAGGAGGCGCACAGGTCGGAGAGGAACTGCCTGCAGAGCTCTTCGAAGCCGCCAGGGTTATAGCGACCCTTGCCCCGTGCCTTGCAGTCTCGGACGTCGCAGGCTCGGTTCCAGCCTTCCACAAACACCGCCCCGCAGGTAGCCTTGAGGCGATTGATCAATTCTGGTCAGGTATCCAAGCGATCCTCTCCAGGGGTCCGTTGCGGCAGCCAGCGGACGTCAAGCCGGACCACCCGGTAGAGGCTGTCGCACGGGTCATTCTAGTCGCGCCGGCGGCAGGAACGGTCGCTCTCCCAGCGATGTGCATTCTCAGCTGGGGCGCTGCGCCAGTAGGATGAGTGTTCCCGGCTGGACCAGTCAATCGAGCGCCAGGTTGAGGCGTTGGGGGGCGCATGGCCTGGGTCGCTCTCCCGTCTGTCTGGCCAGTCTGGGTGGCGCCTCCCCCCTGGGGGCGTTGTCACCACCGGCGCTGATGGCGGGGCGGCCGCCGTGAATGATCCAGGCGAGGTGCGTGCAGCCTCCTCGGTCCCCGGCCGTGACCCACTCGCCCCCCATCTTGCCGCCCGAGCCGAGCTGTACGTTGAGCCAGTCGCTCCCCAGTATCGTCGGCCTGTGCGTGCCAGCACGCGGGGCGAGCGCCGTAGCCGTCCCTGGCCATTAAACAATGACCCACCTTCACTTCGGGCGCGATGCCGCCGTGCTGCTGTGAAACGGTAGGTCTGGTGGCGGGGACGAGCCCGAGAGACGGCGTTCGCTCCTGACATCCCCCGGCTGGCCCGCGTTGCTGCTTGCGCCCGCGGTGCCCCCGCGTTCCTGGTTATCGGCACGGGGCGGGCGCGGCTGCCCCTCCCCCTCGCCACCCCCCTCGTCGCCCACCTTCGTCGCCGCCCCAGTCGGGAGTGGGGGTCGGGTCGGTCTCGCACACGGTTCCTCCTGGAGCGGTGCCACCAGTCTCCCGACCGCCAGGGTCCTCCAGGTGGACGGACCTGACGCGTTGCGTCGGGTTCGCTGAGGGGCTGGCGGCTGCGCCCTTCGGGGGCGTGAGGATGATGAGGAGGAGGTCGTGGTCCCAGTTGGCGTCGCTCGTGGTCTGTCCTGGAGGCTCATCTGCGGCAAAAGGCCATGGGGGCGTCTGCCGCTTCCCCGACGGGGACCGGACGGCGACAATAGGTGAGCAAAGGGGCGTTCAGACTGCAAATGCCCTGGCTGGCCAGGAAGGATGCCAGGTCATTTCCATCGTACCTGGACGGGTCGGTGCCGCGTAGGGCCGCTCGGGACCACAGGAAAGTCTCCCACGCCGCCCTCAGGTTGTTGGCTTTGCCGCCCGCATTATTACTCATGCCCTTGGTATACGCGAGCCAGGCGACAGGGGCCCACGCACACATAGTGTAAGTATGTTTGGGTGATGCCGACGCTACTCGCCTGAACTCTCCCGAGAGGCTTTCTGACCAGAATCTCCAGGAGAATCTAATCGTGGCGACGAGGGGTATCCGGGACGAGCAGCAGTATCGATCGGTTTCCCTCCTCCGAGGGAACGAAAAAACCACACGATCCGCCACGGACTGAAGCTAGGAGGCAACTGCTGGGAGGTCTTCGTGACAACGGCTGAGGGCTACTGAGCCCGATCAGGAGTTCGCTAAGCCGAATTGAGCCGAATTAAGCCAGGATTGAGCCCCATATTAAGCTGAATGCGAGGTCATACCAGTGGAAGCCGTTGTTCGACCACGGATACGGCCAGACCTAAGACAGAAAAACAGCCTTCAAGAACATGAGAACCTCCACTGGCCAAACTGAAGAACATTCGAGGATACCCTCCCCCGGGATGCATAAGAACATCCAACAAACACGAAGACCCTTAGGGCACCCTCCTCGAGCCGACCCCGATCTTATACCTCGGCCCGACCGTATTCCAGCACCAGTGCTGAGTTCAACCTCCCAACAACTGCATCCTAAAGGGAGGGGTTCTCGGCGGCACGGCTCCCGCGGTTTTCCCCTGCTCCTGGCCTCCCTGAGGCCTGCAAATGCCAGCGGCCCAGCGCACAAGGTCTTCAACTCTGCTTTGCCATTCTTGCGCCCACTTTCGCTGTTGTCTGCCATCTTCGCAGGCCCTGTCCTGCACCGAATCCCCGCACATGTTCGACCTGCTTCTCTGGTTCCAGACGGAAGATAAATCTGAATGAACACAGGATGAGGATACGCCCCACAAGCCCTGTGACAGGCCTGAGCTGGATCGAATTGCGAAATGGGCACGGCCGCTGCACATGGGCCCCCTCCTCCTCCCCCTCCACCGCCACCACCCCCTCCCCACGTCCTCCTCCTCCTCCTCCTCATCCCGTCTTATTCTTCTGATTATAATCACTATTACTATGATTATTCCTATACGTACCATTATCAATAGTCGTCTTATCGTTATCATTATCGCTCGTAGTATGAATATGCTAGTGTTCGTTATTAGTATTAACATATTACTATCATTCGACTATTAACATTATGATGGTTAGACGTAGTATCGTAACTCATCTTGCTGATAGTAGTCCTAGTATTGATATTGTCAGCTTCAATAATAGTTTGATCGGTCTTGCTATCTTAATCCTGTTACGCTCAGTGGTTCTTAGTCCTATGAGTATTAAGTGGTTATTTGTCCTAGTATTATTAGTGGTTCTTAATAGTGGTTCCTAGTTCCATGATAGTGGTTGTGTTAATAGTGGTTCCGATTAGTGGCTCTTAGTGGTTCTTAATAGTGGTTCCTTAGCTGTATTGTTAGTGGTTCTTAGTCCTATGAGTATTAAGTGTCTTACTCTTCGTATGATTCGTATAATCAGAATGATCAGTACTTCCAGTGTGATGATTAACCTCACTCGCATTCGCAGTATAGTTCCATTACTATCAGTACTCAGGTTAGAACGCGTAGTAGTGTTATTGTTATTGCTACTATTGTTAATGATGGCCATTTCAGTGTTATCAATGTTTGTAGTACTACTAGTGGTACTCTTATGATTACTGCGAGCGTTACAACTAGTATTCATATTACTATCAGCACTCGTCGTCTCAATATGCGTCATTAACTTCTGATGATTAGTATGAGCGTTCGTAATCGTATTCGTAGTTGTCGTAGCCGCCTTGCCCGTCTTCGTAGTAGTACATTTAGTGTTAGTGGTAGTCTTGTTAATCTTATGTAAAGCATTGTTACCATTAGTGTTCTTATTATCATTCCTCCTCCCACTCCTCCTCCTCCTCCTCCTCCTCCTTCTCCTCCTCCTTCTCCTCCTCCTCCTC